ATATAATATATATAATCATCTTCCGCATCATCATGCTCATTCACAATCTAAATCACAGCTCACAATGTCACGTACATTTCCAGCCAACCCATATACACCTTTGGCTCGTTTGCCATAAGCTTAGGGCATAGCAAAACTAAAAGCCAGAACTGTTCGCGGTATTGTTTCAGCGGGCATATAAAGTGCAATAACCAGGCGTACATTGAACCAAGCTGCGAGTCATATGCCCAAAGCCCAGCTACACTCAGCTACACTGACCACTAATCCAAACCTAATCTAAAATAATTGAGTATTGCCCAGCGTGGAGTCCTGGCTTTTTCAGCGGCACTCTGAATAATTTATGCGCGCATTAAATGCGCTTAAAATGTTAGTGTGTGTGCACACATGTGTGTGTGTGTGTGTAGTAAAATATATGGACCAGGGCTGTCGGATATGAAATCTAATTCTACTATTTAAGCTCCAAAAGAAAGCATTAAAACAAAAAATATTAGATAAATATATATAAATAATAGTATTAAAGGATAGTTCGCATAAAGTTAAAGTATATTATATAAAAATATATATCTTATTATGCTGCTTGCAACCCTGAGTTACAGGCAAACACCCCATGGATTTTGCTGCTGGCTTACAGCATCTTGGAGCTGTGACTTGGGATTCTTATGACACAAGTTTATGGAGCGTTTCTTGCAATGCCTTTTAGCGGCGCGCATTGTCCAGTAGGCGGCCATTAGCCTCAAGTTATGCAGCATAACTGCAGCGGCAACAGCAGCAGCAGCAACAGCAGCAGCAACAGCGTGGCAACAAAACTCTGCACGGCTTATCTATGGAACTTCAAAGCTTTTGTGATGGCGCCAACATGACAGACATTGGACATAAAGCTGCAACGTGGCGTATGCGCAATATCTTTGCCTTTATATCGCCGCTATGTATGCGTGAATAACTGTGTGTGTGTGTGTGTGTGTGGTTGTGCTTATATAAAGAGAGCGAGCATAAAGCAAAAATTGTGTCGTCAACAGTTGCACAATGCAACAGCTACAGCGCCCCAGGCATTAAATCACTAAGGACAACAACAACAACAACACCAGCTGCGCCATAAACCAGGTAGTACTTCTGCTTTACAAAATATACATAAGTAAATATATATTTTAAGTGCAACACGACAATAGCAGCAGCAGTAAAAACAACAACAAAATGGTCTGTGAAAGAAAAACAAAAACAAAGAATCCTTCTCGATGCTGGCTGACTAAGAGATATCCTCGAGCCAGCGTTGCATAGTGTTTATTCATAATCAAAATGAGTTGGCAAGTATTTTAAAATATTGTATGTTTTATATAAGAGCATATAATATATATATATGACAAGATGTATGTCATCGGCGACCTGAGCAAGGAGCAGACAGAGGCAAAGACCGACTGCCTGCCACAAGCATAAATACGTTGCATATATACCCCTCACACATATGCTACGCATTCTAGGGTATTCAAAAATGCATGCAAAGTAAACAATGGCAAGAAAATATTTTCGATTCGCCAATAATTAAATATCCTTGAAAATATGCAGCTCACAGGAAATTTGATAATCTCTTCTCAGCCACACATCAATTTAACACAAAGAAATATCTACTGATTGCTCTTGTGGCATTTATTTATTAAAATTTAAATGCAAAGTGAACTCAACTGAACTGCAAAATATGCATACAGATTTCTTTCAAGTCAAACAACAAATTTTTAGACAAAAAGTGAAACTTTTTTGTATTTCAAAATAATAAAAAATAAAGTAAAAATTCTTTACTAAGCTTTATCGTCTCAAACAAGTTTAATGAGTATATAAAACAAGCCATGTTAACCAAGACTTAGTATAAATTTCTTTTTCTTACTTTCAAGCAAGCCAACTATTCAAGCAGCCCTCGTGCAACACAACTTTAAACAAGCAAATTGAAAACCTGAAATGCAAATCCCATTGTTGTTGCCATATTCAAATGGTCAACAGTCAACCGAGGCAGCATTTCGTAAAACTCAAATATCATATGCCCGAGCGCAATCCCCAGGCACATCGATTCGCATCAGGCTGGCTGCATGTTGCCTGTCAATGTTGTCAATGTTATTGTGCCTAATGCTCAGCCGCTGTGTGTGTGTGTGTGTGTGTGTGTGTGTGTGCGATAGGCAGCTGAGTAAGTGAGGCGAAATCTGTGCCAGAAATGCGATATTATCAACATTTTAGATACAATTTGCAGCGCTCTGTTGCGGCTCCTGCTGCTGGGTCGACATCGGCTCTTACGTCTCGTCAGCTGGCTGGCTTAGAGGCAAATTTGAGCTCATACAATTTGCAGTTAGCCGCCTGCTGCCTTACGCTTGACTAACTGCCTGACTTGACTGCCTGCGCCTGTGCCAGTGGCAGTGCCCTGGCCTAGGCCCCCAACTGGGGAAGTGCCTTTCTGCAAGCAACTTGTAACTTGGCGCCCTCTGACTGTGTGCTAGCTGCTGTAGCTCATTGTTGTTGCGGCTTGTTTGGTTTTATTGTGTTTATATTTGGCTTAAGGCATCAATTTGCTTTTACTTATATACATATCGAGCGCGACGACTCCCAGTGCCGAGCTGAATGCCAATGTTCAGGCAGCAGCAACTGCGTATCGTTATCAGCAAGCCATGCTTACCAGCAATAATACAAATATGCATTTAGTATATATATATATATCAACATATATATGTGTGTTGTATGGCCACACACAGGCACAGCCGCCACGCACATAAGAGCAACACATGCAATGGCAAATGCATCGATTACATAATCCATTTACACAAATGGCATTTTAAATACATTATATTGACAACCGAACGGTATTGGGTGCAGCCACGCGGCGTATGCGCTATATTTGTATCCTCGCACAAGCGCTTGACAAATACGCCTACACACACGCCACACCCACTGCAATACCCTTACTTGTGTGTGAAAGTGCATTTGCGTGCAAATTAGTTTTCATTGTGTTCTACTTAAACTCTGTTTAATCAGTGCGTCAAGCAACTTTTCAGCCCTACGTAGAGCTAAAGGAATTACAATTGCTTTAGGCTCCGAGCCTTGACCCATGGCTAAATGGATGTATGTAACACATATGTCTTATCCGACATTATCAGAGAGCTTTGCTTGTTGTGCTTAACTAAATAACACTCTTAGAGTCAGCTCTTGCTTTGTACAATTCTTCTTAGCCATATATAATACCTATTTTACTCAGCAAATTGTGAAAAAACGAAGAGTTGTAGCTTATCATGTCGTAACTCGGGCGAGTTTATTGTTTTTACAAATCTACTTTAAGCTGATTTAAAAAAAAAAATCCACTACAAAAGTCATATGAGAAGATATATATATATATATATATATAATGCGATATGCGCATTGAAAGCACTTAAAGATGTTTAAGCCCGCTTAATATGTCTTAATATAAATCTTCACTTTTGTCGGCTTATTACAAATTGTCTCTTGAAAATTCAAGCAGAGTTTACTATTAAAAACATATCAACTATCAATGCAATTGCATTTTCAACGTTCAACTGAGTGCAAATCAAACAAAGTCAAGAAGCATGCTGCACGTGCAATTGGCATATGAAATTAAATCTCATGGCAAATAGATCTCATTACAGTCAAATAGACGTCAACGACACACGCTTCCTAACGAGCCATTCTAATGCGTTTGTCAAGTGGCGCCACCTGTCGCATTTGCAGTGCCAACAATCATCAAGTGGATGCACAGTGTGCAAACAAAATACTTGAACACATCAGCCTCAAATTTATCAACGGCATTTATCTCATCATCATAATCATCATCGACATCATCATCATCATCGTCATCATCATCATAATTAATGCTTGCTATCTGACACCGCACGCCATAAAGTCGTTTGCCCAAAGCCCATGGACCAGACTCATTTGCCGATTGGCCGGCCAGTGCACGCTTCGCTCGCCAGATGGCGCTGCCCATCAATTTTATGATACAATTGCCGATGAGCCGTTAATTAATAAAATGCAACCAAGAAAAAAAAGCGAAAAAATTGAGCATAAAATAAAAAATAAAAAAAAAACCCGCTCATTAATAAATATTAACTCATAATTGGGCACGAATCCGTATTGAATATGTTGCAACTGGGCTCAGTGATTTAACGAAATTTAATAAAAATTTTAACCATGCTTAAGAGCTGCACGCCAGGGCAGGTGCAAAAATCAGCCAGCACGAAAATAAAATGCATACGGAAACAACAAACTAGAGGAAGGAAAAGGCAATAACACAAAAAATATGTAAAAGCCACAGAAACCAGCCAGAAACTAATGGAACTAATTGTTCGACGAAAGGCGGCCACATAAATATGCCCAGGCAGGTGGGAGAGGGAAAGCGAGAGCGAGAGTGTTACCATTGTTCAGTCGAAAGTGAAATGCCAATGCCAAGCGCAACTGCTGCGCTCTGTAATTGGAGCAACTGCAGCGCCGCCCGAAACGTGCGAAGTGTATAAAATCATGTGCTTGGCGCGCAGGCGCCGGCAGTCAAAAGTGGCGATCGAAAAGCAACTGACTGCGGCCAGCAGCTCTCTAACTGGGAATACTTGAGCACCGAAACTAGCATCAAAATGAGGAAGCATTGCGTAAGTAAGCCACAAATTTATACAATGCAAATGGCAATCAAACGTGGCGCTGGCTTACAGATCGCTGGATGCTGCATTTTGTTGCTGCTGCTGCAGCTAGCGAGCGGCGAGCAACAGGCGGAAGATCACAGGTAAGTGAAAAGTGCCTGGCACCTGCTATCAATTGTACAGACTAGGAAGTGACTGTAGCCAAATAATCACATTTATTTAACAAAGTTTTTAGAGAGAAAACTTTGCTGCCAACAACTTTCATATTTGAATATAAAAGTCAATAAAAGTTTACCAAATAAATCTGTGATCAGAGCGCAGAGTCAGAGCTAAAAAATTTAAGCAAAATTTCGCTCATTTGTTTGCAGAATTCAACGACGTTTCATGTGGCAGCAAATGGACAATGCTGTCATGGGCGGGCTTATGGGGCGCATGTTCAGTGGTGCTCGGTCGATGAGATCGATGTTTGGTGACTTTATGCCCAGCACGGCGAGCTATGCCAAGAACATGATGGACTATATGCCAACAGAGACGACGCGCGTCAAGTACATCATCCGAGATCCGCACACGAACAAGCCAGTGAAGATTATCAAGATGCGTGGCCCGCTGAAGAAGGTAGTGAAGCTGATGCGGCCACTGCCCAAGCCCTTGGTCACAGAGCCCACGAAGCTGCAGTACGAGAATCGCATGCGCCAGCTCGAGAAGGAGCAGGAGCTGATTGTCGAGGGCAAAGTGCCCATTAGCAGCGATGAGGCACTCATGGATAAGTACTTCAAGCACAAGCCCCGAACCAATAGCAATGAGATTGTCTCCGGCAAGATTATGGAATACCAGAGCTGGAAGCCAGTCTACAAGTCTGGCGAGCAGCCCACATCTTATGTGACGCTGCGGCCTCAGGCCATGACACAGCTGCACACACAAATCACGGCCAGCAAGGACAGTCAGGATTACCAGGGAGTACCGCCTGGCAATATGCTGCCCAAGCCCGAGAAGCTAGTCGGCCGTCGTCCAGAGCTGGACGAGGAGGACGACGACTTCGAGCAGGTCGAAGAGGACAGCGAAAATGAGCTGGCCAAGCCGCCGGGGCATCAGTACGAGGTGACCGAGCACACGGGCGAGGCAAGCGGCGAAGTGCAATCCTTGGCGCCCATGGAAGGCGGCTTTGTGCCCTCCAAGCAGTACCACAGTCAACCAAGTGAGCATCCCAATAGCCAGCCCAGCAGCCATTCGAGCAGCCAGCATAGCAGTCACTCCAGCAGTCATTCCAATAGCCAGCCCGACAGCCATCCCAGCAGCCATGTCAACACCCATTCGAACAGCCATCACAGCAACCATCACAGCAACCATCCCAGCAACAGCGGCAGCCACTCGAACCGTCCGCGTAGTCGTGGCAACAGCCTTGCCCCACCGACTACCACGACAACCGAGCTGCCCAATTATCCGCCAGCTTTTTTGAAAAAGTATCGCGCGCAGGAGGCCGCTGTCAACGCAAAGCCCAGCAGCAGTAAATCGAGACCCAAGCACCACAAAGAGCTGATCCTCACAGAGAGCAGCCCACAGTCCAATGTTAGCTTTGCGATGAGCAGCCTACGCGCACGCCTCCAGGAACAGCAGCGGCAAACCAAGCAAGAGGAGCGCGACGCCGAAATGGAGGCGGCCTTGGTGGAGGCGATGCACGGCGACAAATGGCCAGCGGAGGTGCAGCACAGCAGCAGTTATCTGACCAGTCCCATCGGACCCAGCGCTGTGGCCTTCGACCAGGCCGTACAGCCCGTAAAGCTGCCACGCAGCGAACACAAGAGACAACGCGCAAATGTGCGACAGCGCGGATCCATCAAGTTTAGCGATAATCCCAACGAGGAGGTGTAGCCCAAGGGCGCGCACCAGTCGGAGCAGTAACCAAAGCATAGCCAAAGCGTCAGTTAAGCGTTTCAATTGCCTAGTTGTTAACATAGTTTTAAATGGCCTGAGTAAAAGCAAGAGTTAAACACTTTCCACATACTTCTCGAAACAAAACAATTTCATTTGGGGCCGGAGTCATTGTACCGAGTGCACGCAATGCAACTTCGTTCGTTCGTTGGTTATGGCAAATGCACTTTAATTATTGTAAAATGCGTTTCCCCCAAGTCGTTGGCACTTATCACATTCGTTCATTTCATTTGACAAGCAATTTAAAGCTTTGAACTGCCTTCAAGCTGACCCCAAAAAAACACACACACAAGCGCTGCAAAAGTGGGTTAAACCTGCTATAAATTCCAGTGACAAACCAGAACAAAAGACAGCCATAAGACATTCTAAGCTTTAGCATTCCCCGAGACGGCCGCAAGGCCACTGCTTCCCTTTGCAAAACATAAAAAAAACTGAAAAAAATAAAGAAATGCAACAAATGCGGTTTTTAATTAAGTACCTAAAGCATTGGCGACAACAGCTGAATTAAGAGCCAAACTGGCCAGAGCGAATGGCCCTGGAAAATGTAAGCATGGCGCAGTGAAAGAAAGCACGAAAAACGAACCAAAACAGCGGCAACCAATTTTCCTTTTCGAATGAATGCCATCCAATTCGATTCACTGAAAAACTTCTGTGAAATTACTTTAACTAGAGCAGGAATTTAATATAAAAAAATAAGGAAACATTTTCCTTCACTTTCACTTTCCTTAACTTATTTTGTTGAATTCTATGTAAAATGTTTGCATACAAAATTTAATTTTTTAGTTTTTATCCATCAAGCCAACGCTTTCTTTCTACTATATCAAACTATGCTATATATATTCTATAAAAATTATTAAATATTAAAAAAAGTTTGCTTCATATATTGTCAAACTTCATCAAATATTTTTTTTACTTATTTCCGATCAGTTTTTAATAACTTTACTTTACTTGTAACTTCAGTTCTACAAGCTTCAGGCAAACATTTTATGTTTTTGGTTTCATTAAATTATTCTTATTAAAAATTTTAAAAATTAAATTTTAAAAAATTGTTTCTTTAGTTCAATGAAAAGTGTTTGAATATAAAATTATATATTTTTTAAATTTTTTTCTCTCTAAACCCAAACTTTCTTCATTTAAATAAAATTCTAAAATAAAACACATGATACCAAATTTCTTTCAGATCTATTTGATTACAGATCTCTTTACAAAGCTTAACAATTTTACATTCTGAGCATTATCTCTATGATTACGCTACTTACAGCTTTAAATTGATGCTAAATTTGCTCAGAACAAACTGATTTAAAATTACTATAAAAACATGTTCATATATTAAATATTAATATATATAAAATTCAACAACAAATTTGACATTCATTTGTAACCGTTTTGGTAAAAGCATATCCGAATTAAAGTATTAATATATTATTAAATTATTATTATATTAATAAATTATTCTTATTATATTATTAAATTGTTTTTATAATAATTATATTATTAAATTATTTTATTTTTATTTTTATTATATTTTATTTTTATTTTAATTATATTTTATATTTTATATTTTACAATGATCATTATTATATTACAAAATTATTAAAAGAAGTTTACTTAATTAATATTCACTTTAGTAACAGTTGTCAGATTAAAAAGTTGATAAAAATAATCTTTGTATTTTAAGGAGAAGAAATTTTGAATCAAATACAAAAATAATAAAAATACTTTAGTCTTATGAGAATTAAAAAAGAAATTTGAAGTTCATAAATGTAGCTTGCTTCATAAATTATAAATATTCTTGATAAGTCAGCCTAATCAATATAATCAATTCAGCAGACACTACATTAACTCAGACGGCAGAAACGAATCGAACCATCTTTGATATGACTTCTACAAAATATGAATCCTTAATCTATACAATTAAAATTTACAATAAAAACATTTCTACAAATTATTCATGTTTAATTCGATTGGCTTAGCTATTTCCCAACTGTGAGAAATTTGTGCTTATCAAGCCACTACAAATTATTTCTAATCGTTTCTTTAGTAATGTAGTAAGCGACACTTTAGCTGCGGCGGCCTTGGCGTTGCTTTGTTCAATGGCCCCATTTGCGGGTGGAGCGTTCTTTTCTGTTCAGCTGGAGTCATTAAAAGCGCCAATTGACTGGGCTATGCAAAGCGTCACCAACAACGCGATTAGGATTGCAGCACCTAACTAAGGCAGCAATAACAAATCGCTGGGACACGCCCCAAAAGTTTCAAGGACATTATTGGGCACGTGGCTTGATCTGGGGCCACGAGCTGAAGCTACCCTTGTACCTGTCCAAGTGCCCGCTGGCAGGAAGCGTGCTCACCATGTCCCCAGGTCCTGCTGTCCTCGACTCTCATTGTCGAGTGCGGCAAATACAAATTAGAATTTAAATGAACAATGCAACCAGAGCGGAAGTGTGTGAGTGTGTGTGTGTAGGTGGGTGACATTGCACGTAGCGAACGTTGGACAGCGACAACAACAACAACAACAACAACTAACTGGCAATAATGTCATGCAGCAATTTTTTTTCTACTTGTTTCCACTTCTTTAGCGCTCTTTGGGGTTATTTTGCACACAGAGCAGAAAAAAAAAATAAAAGTTTGGAGATATTTACGCTGTATAGCAAACTAGGTCGCTAACTTAGCTGCAAAATGTCAAAGGGATAATGGAATTTCGCATAGAAAATTCGTTAAAGTGCGTTTGAGCTGCGACAACAGCAAAATGAGCATAGCAAAGCTGAGAGCTATCCGTCTAAAGTACAGCTTCAAATTATATATTAGAGCTGCAGTTGGAAAAGAAGTTGGTTGACAATATCTTAAAACAGTTAAGCAACAAAAAGATTAGCGCAATGGAAGGAGATAAGCAGAACTTAATACAGCAGCCCTAGAAGCTAAGGAAAATGACTACAGCTATAATTAAAAGCAAAATTTTATATAGTATTTTTTAGTCAATTTACAATTGAATGTAACCAGAGCGCAATATGGGAGACTCTAATCAATATGTTATCAAATAAAAAAAAACTCTGCTATAATGACTTCCACCTTTAAACGGGTTCAGTATATTAAAATGTACTGAGACTTGTGCTAAAGTTAATATAAACATCTGGATGTCTTAGATATAAAAAAGATATATAAAAGATATAAAAATAGACTTTTCATAATAAAGCTCATGTTATTAGCAATGTAAAGAGACTAAAGACAACTCGTACTATGAAAATGGTATTGATTATCGCCCTGGAAAATACCTAAATTGAAAATTAATATCAAATTTTTAGAAGGAAAATGTTTTTCTATATTTGCCTACGCCCATGAAATTTTTGGCACAATTTTATGCCGGAAAGAAGTTTAGAATGATTCAAATAGTTCAAGGTATTATATCTTAAACCAGAATAGAACTCCCTTACTTTATGTTATTTTATATACAAAGTGTTTTTTATAATTCTGAATAGAGTATTCTTTCATTCCATTATTTTATATATAGTATACAAAATACATATACATATGCATACATATACATATAGTATACAAAACTTCTGTAAGCTTGAGCTTATGTAATTAATTGATAATTACTAGTTAACATTTGAGATAGGTATTGAAAAAAACTACCAGCTCTATCATTAACAAACTTGCCTTATATGAGAAATAAATACCACAAAATTATACTTTATAAATTTACAACTTGGTGTTTGGGCTTAAAACTGCGTAACACCGACATAAATTCTCTATTTCATAATGATGTAAGCTGACAAAAAATAATATTGTTTTCAGCCATGCTGCGACTCAGATGCAGTAATCAAATTATCCTTGGAGGCAGTCGGCATCTATGAAGCAATGTCTTAGAGATAATAGCTCTAGCTTGTAGCTAATTTCATAGAATCTACATGGCTAGAGCACATGAAAACAATTCACAAAAAAATTTATACTAGCATTTGCCATGACAACTTTGCTGCGCAACGAAAGTACTGAATATTAACGACGGCAATAGTTGGCTCTATGGCGACTCAATTAAATATTTAAGGCCAGGTAATTGTTGCGTGATAAATGCCGAACTGCCTTTTACCTGCCGCTGTCAAAGTGAAATTTATGAAAGTGAAATTCATTTAATTATAAGCGACAGCCTGCCAAGAGACAAGAGAAAAAAATGGCGTCTGTGCTGGAAATGGTAGCTGGTAGCTGGTAGCTGGGCGGGGGCGTGACATGTCAACCCGCGTTGTGCCAAAAATGATATTAATTATGGCTTTCGACGCGACGAGCGAAGTAACAAACCAAATTGCAAAGATGACATCGGAAAAGCCAATTTGGAGTGGTTTTTCTACGTCTTTTTTTTTTTTTGAAACTTTGAAAAGCTTGTGGAGCACATTGAACTCGCAATCAGCAAGCGAGAAAAGGGAAGGGGCTGCCGCTGCCCATTTAGCAGAGAAAACATTTTGTTTGCTTAACAAAACACACACACAGCGACAATCCTGAGGTAGAGACTGGAGCAGGCGCAGACGGAGGCGGAAGTGCAGGCAACGACAACGTTTAGCATCAGTTTAGAAGTGCGAAATGTGCGCTGCATGCTAAAAAATTAAATATTCAAATATAGCTGAAAGTGGGGGAGTGGGCGCAACGTTCTATAGAGATGGAGCCAGCCGTAGCACTCGAACTCGCAGAGAAACTCGCACAAATTTACGGCAATGCATATGCAAAGCAAAAGCCGCACAGGCGACAAAACATAAATATTTTGTTGATTGAAATGAATATATTTAGGAATTTTAGCTTAAAGACAATTAATGAGAATTAATAAGAATTAATAATAATAAATAATAAAAAAAATATTCTGTTTATGCCTAAAATATTTATGTTAATGTTAAATCAAAATATTTTGAAAATGTTAATGTTGAATTAGAATAAATAAAAATTAAAGAAATATTTATGTAAAATAGTTATATAAAT